TTGTGATGCTTTGTCAATGTTGTTCATTTTCACTGTTGCTGTTCGACTTTATAATGATGATGTTATTGTGAGTCTAAATTCTTTACTGTAAATTTTAACTAATTTTTTCTCAACAACACTCTATTCTGTTCTTGTGAGAGCTGAAAATTCAGTTGGATCAAAATAAACATGGAACTGAAATAAAGTAAGTATATATAACTGAAAAAAGAAAATAAACTACAGTTCTGATAAGTAGTAACAGACATATCAATTGTTGTTTGTTTTGGTATTCAGATTTAGTTCCGAACGACAAAATTTATAAAAATTATTCAAATTTGTGCTTAAATGATAAATTAAGATTGTTGAACCCGTTGAATATATGAATAGGAATGGAACAGTGACGATAATCGTGGGTACGGTTGACCATCCTGGCCGATAACCGATCTTATCGGTTTACTGTTTTCGAGAAAGAAAGGATTTTAAGAGAAAATAAAGGTAATTTATAAAGGTTGACGAAAGTAAACCGGGATCGAGGAACCCGAATCTGCAATCAGTTTTTCAAAGTTCAATACTTGATCGCTCATTGTGAGACAGTTATTATAGGCAAATCGACATACATCTATCACTTATCCATCGTTCCTCGAACAATATGTAACGACAGGTACTCCGTATATCGAAGATCTCTATTATCCAATCAATAAAACACGAGATGGAATTAAAAGACTTGAATTGGTCAAATTGATAAAGCAGGCAATGCAACTCATTATGCAGAAATTTTCAATACCAGTAAATCCAAAAGATAGTCTCACACCTCATACAACAGTATTGGTAGAACAATGTGAAAATGACAAAGACTTTTGTATATTAGTCACTGTAAGAAAAAGTAGGTATTTCTGATGCAGCAATATGTGAACAGATAATTTGGTACATGAGCGCACACAATAGGCCGAAGGAGGATTTCTTAAACGTGATACAAATGTTAGTTGTTCATTCACTCGTGCATTATTATGTAGTTTGAGACAAAAATATAGTATTGAATATCGTCCTGGTTGAGAGTAAAAATAGAGAAAATCGATGTCTTATCGAAAAATTAAACAGAAACTATATCGTCAAATAATCAAATATTGATTCAATATTACTGGTGGGTGGCTCACATACGTTTGTCATTTGTAAGTCGATTGAAGTTTTGCCTAATGCTGTCAAATTATTCTTTTATGCTGTTTTAATATTTTTTCTTTGTCTAAATATACATTTCTTCTTTCATTGAACTATTTTTATTCCATTTCGTCAATAGACACTTAAATCTTCCAGAAGATTTACATATCTCCATTATTCTAATCAATAGTCATTTTTTTGAGTTAGTCTATTGTATAATGCATTCAAAAATTGAATACTACTTTCTTTTAGTTCAATTTTTGTTTGTTTTGATATTATATTTAAAAATATATTGTTATGCGTCAAGTAGAAGAAAATCAATCGAAAAGTTGAATTGAACTGTCAGGTTTGACATGTATGATTAAATATGATTGTGGACTGTTAAGATAGATTTTATGACAACTACGAGATGTATATATTTTCCTCTGTCAAAACTTACAGAGAATTATTATCTTGTGAGACATATTCTTTAATAGATAGATGCAGAAAAAGTGTCCACTAATTGTACTTTTGAAATTCTAATATGTAAACATTTGAATGTTAATCGTATGTACAACAGATGATAGAATATTTTTTCTTGTAGAAACATAGTCGATAGAAGTTTAACTTCTATTATCAGTTACTTTATCTTTACATATTTCAGTTGTTGGTTCTTTCCAAGTGAAAATTTTGTTTCTTTTCATGAGTCATTCTGGAAAGAAAGAGAAAAGAACGGAAGAAAGCAATTTTTACGAAAAAAAAAATTCAGTTCTTCTACGATCTACAACAGATTTTACTCAATATTCTTTCTCTTGTATGATGTCCGATACATGTACTTTTTCGTATATTGCTGCAAAAGATTCAGCACCGAAAACAGCCACAGGTATTGAACGTTCGTGGTTGGATCTTAAAATTGAATTTAGTCGACAAGGAGAAGGATTAGCTGGTGCAAAATATTATAAAACAATAAGTCCAGAAGGGCCACAATTATTTGCTGTTAAATTTGATGAAACAGTTTGGTATCATGACCAAAATCGATGGCACAAATATCAAACAGCTAGAGATATTCACTACAATATTTTAGCATCGGCAAACTCAAATCTTCCGAGAAAAAATNGGCCGAGAAAGAAGGCGCATTGGAGGAGTGATGAGGATGATGATGATGATGAGCCCCATGTTGGTGTAGAAGATGAAAATTAAACCAAAGAGAAAATAACTATGTTCAAATATATTTTAATTGTTCATATAAATGAATTGATTTCATTTTTCTCTTTATGATATTTATTCAGGAAATAAAATCTCTTGTCTTTACTTAAGATACATTCTATTTAAAAAGACATTCAAAAGAGTAAAACTATAACATCAAGGCAAATAATTTCATTCTATGTTGTTTATTTGAAAATAAATTTAAACAATATGAGACATATTGTAATAA